GAAAGCACAATAATCACTGTATTTCTCATTAGTCAAATAAAATATTAAAATTAAGTCTTTGAAAGGTAGGCCAGGAGCTGTGGTTCACACTGTAATCCTAGTACTTTGGGAGGCCAAGGCGGGTGCATCACCTGAGGTCAGGAGTTTGAGACCAGCCTGGCCAACATGATGAAACTCCATCTCTATGAAAAATACAAAAATTAGCTGGGCATGGTGGCGTGTGCCTGTAATCCTAGCAACATGGGAAGTTGAGGCAGGAGAATTGCTGGTACCTGGGAGGTGAAGCCTGCAGTGAGCCAAGATCTGGCCACTGCACTTCAACCTGGGCAACAGAGTGAGACCCTGTCTCAAAAAAAAAAAAAAGGAAGGCTTTTTTGTACAAGACAATCTCTGATGTGCTCCCTTTGCATAAAAATGCAAAAATGTAAAATAAACTATTGCAAGTTTGAAAGTACAATAAAAACACATTTAAAAATGGAATTATTTGTACATGTTCTTTATTTACTTATCCATTTATTTATTTAGTTTAGATTCAAGAGGTGCATGTGCATGTTTGCTGCATGGAGATATTGCATAATTGTGGAAATTTCGCATCTAATGTAGTTACCTTTTCAACCCTAGGCTGTGGACCCATGAGATACCTTCTGTGGCTAATTTATTTTCTTTCTAATCATGATCATCAACAGTCACTCATAAATAACTAGAGTCTAAGTTCTGTGACATTCTATGCATATTAGTCATCGTAAATATTCTTTCCAGGCACATTTAAATGTTTACCTTAAAACATTTTTAAATGTTTAGCTAAGTTAAGTGTGGCTCTACCTTCAATAGCCTCAGACTTACATTGTTGCTAAGACTGGAGGTCATTTTAAAGATCTTTTAAATCATCTCTAGGTCCCTTTCTGTTCAAAGAGACTCAAGGTATAGAAGTAAGAGTTTAATGTGAGTTTGGCCCTTATTAATATTAATCATAAATGACAAGTGATTATTGACCAGGATGAGACATCAGAATCACAAATGCAAAAATCAAAATATATATACTTGTTCAAAGCCCAGAGACACTGGTTCAATAGCTTTCTGCAGTTCTCAATGGCTTCATTTCTTGTAAATTCATAAGCCTGACTGAGAAATATTCGTATTGGAATTCCAAGAGCAGAAAAGAGTGAATAATTACTTTTCCCCAAATCTGAGCTCTTCTAAAGGTCTTCAAAGACCTAAAGTGAATTGGACTGAGGCCTTTAGAACTGAGAGTTGGAGAGAGGAAGAAAACAGACAGAGAGACAGCACCTTTGCCAGCTAACCTTGGGTCTCCTTTTGAGGCTGTGCCCCTACCTAATTCAGAGAGTTTGGAACCATCCCCACTCTGAAATTTCTGTTTTGAATCAACTTTGGGAAATGTTTCCCCAAGAACCTTTTTTTACATGTTAGTCTATTACAGGTAGGATGACACTACTTTTCTGAAGGAAATCCCTAAGCTTCCTGGGGAAGATTTGCTAGCATTGAGCAGATTTGACACTTCACTGTTAGGTCAGTTCTGTAGAAAATTGGCAAGGTGAAACAGAGGACAGCATCCCACTTTCCTACCATCTGATAAAGATGCCAGGAGTTCTTTAAGTTCTTTTGAGTTCTTTAAGAAGGTAACACAGAAAGAAAGGTCTTTTCATTATCTAGAACTTATCAGTGTCACCCAAGGAACAAGTCACAGCATCAGGGGAATGCTTAGGACATCAACTTTTATCCACGAAGTCCACTTAGCTGTATTAGTTCAATTTTTCATGGGCTTTAAACACAATTTAGTAAATACATTATTAATTTAAACATTTTATTAATTGCTTATGAAAGCAGAATATTTAAATTCTTAAAATCAACTAATTAGATCAATGTACTTTGTACACCCATCATACACAGAGGGAATGTAGTGGTTAAAGGAACTGAGAAAACTGGAGTAAAAAAGCCAGACTCCTTCTCTCCCCCTCCCTCCCTTTTCTTTACTCTGCATCCCTCTCTTCCCTCTCCTTTGTTTTCTCTTCCTCTAAGCTCCTTTGGAGTCTGCCTCCCAGGAATTTTTTCCCTACTGGATTGTGTTTCTGCTTAATACCAGTGGGATGATTTTCATCCAAACAGACCATTTAGCAAGCCTTGCCTATGGTGCTCCATCGCTTGAATAGAAACAGTGTTTAATTTGCCTTCAAGAGAACCTATCGTACTGTGGAAGATACTTATCATATTCACTTATATAATTTCATCTTTTCATTTAATATTAAATGTGAATTTTTATTGTGTCAATAGTGATGAACATGCTGTTGTCCACATAGAAAAAGCCTATTTATCTTTCAAGATCCAGTTAAATGCCTCTTACATTCCTATGCTATCCCTTGAAGACTTTCATTTCCTGCCCTGAGCGGAAGTTGGTTTTTTGCCCTTGCTATGATGTATTTTGTGCATTCTTCTACTATATGATGACTTTTTGTATGCTCATCTTCTACCGTAGACTGAGTGATATCCCATTTTATAATTTAGCCATAAGGCTGGTTTGATTTTATTTTTTGACTGAGTGATTAAACAAATGAATAGACATTTAAAGGCTTTTTTTTTTTCTTGGCCAGAAAGCAGTCGAAGTAGTATAACTATAGCCTAATTTTTCTCTTTTTTTCCTTCAACTTTATGTAATTAAATACAATGATTACCAAGTCTTCTAAATTTCAGGGCTAAAGGCTGTCACTGTTAAAGGCATTCCCTGTTCCTTCTGTGACTTGGAAAAGCACATTTTAAAAGCTGTAAATAAAGAATGCACAAATATTCAAAAGTAGCGTTTTATGTGTTCAATGCATTATACTTTTTGATCTATTTCTTAATTTGACCTCTACAGCCACTCTTTGAGGGAAGTAAATTAAGTATTATCTCACCATGCTATAGACGAGAGGGTAGGGACATTAAGGGACTTGGGTTGCATACAAATAGTGGGGCCAGCACTATTCTCAGACCATTGGCACAGTATTCATTTCACTCCATCTTCTTACAGATGACAAGTGTGAGGAGATAGTTGACACACTTGGCAAAAAATGGCAGATTTTCTCCTTTTAATCCGGAGTTTTTGTTTTGCTGTGTGTGTATGTCTTTGTGCTTTAAATGGTCTGGATTTCAACTGTCCATTTGGGAATTCAACAGTTGTGCCTGAAAGCCCAGCAGACATAAAGAAAACAGAGTAGGTTTTTTTTGTTTTGTTTGTTTGTTTTTTTAATAGTCATGCAGTCCTAGAACTGACTTTACCCAGCTCTGCAAGGGAGTGTTCTTCCCTACAAGGGACTGATATTTGCAGAGTGCCCTAAATCTAAACATGTACTTTATGAGGTTTTGAAAAGTGGCTCTTTTCCCAGTTTTAGAAGCTGCCTTTTACATTTTGCAAGTTTCACGTAATTGTCTCCACTGAATTGCCAGAGATAAATTATGCCACCTGGACCTTTTCATTCTGGCATCTCTATCATTGCGGTATTTTATTAAAATAAATATCAAGGATAACCTCCACAGGGCAGCAGGCCCTGATGGAGAATTGTGGAAAGGGTGAGATACGCTTGCAAAGAAGCTTGGCCAAGCCCCATTTCTGCTGCTTTGGTGACTCTGCAAGTGTCTGTGTGAGTGGAGGTGATCATACTGGTGGTGGTCGGGCCACAAGGAAGAAGAGAGTGAAATACATAAATACCAAAGAAAGGTTCTGTGGAGGGCTTTGAGCCCGCAGATAAGTGCCTGTTAGGAGCTACCTATGGGAAAAAGAAGATCAGCACTGTGGTGAGCTCCAAGGAAGTGAATAAGTTTCAGACGGCTTATTCAAATCTACTGAGAGCTAACATGGATGGGCTGCAGACGGGGGACAAAAAGAACAAACTAAGAAGACCAAAGAAGCAGCAGCAGCACCAGTAGTACCAGCAGCACCAGCACCAGCAGCACCAGCTCCAACACCAGCAGCAGCACCACCACCAGCAGCAGCAGTACCACCAGCAGCAGCACTACCACCAGCAGTACCACCACCAGCAGCAGCAGTACCACCAGCAGCAGCAGCACCACCAGCAGCAGCAGCACCAGCAGCAGCAGCACCAGCAGCAGTACCACCAGCAGCACTACCACCAGCAGCAGCAGTACCACCAGCAGCAGCACCACCAGCAGCAGCACCACCAGCAGCAGCAGTACCACCAGCAGCAGCAGCACCACCAGCAGCAGCAGCACCAGCAGCAGCAGCACCAGCAGCAGTACCACCAGCAGCACTACCACCAGCAGCAGCAGTACCACCAGCAGCAGCAGCACCACCAGCAGCAGCAGCACCAGCAGCAGCAGCACCAGCAGCAGTACCACCAGCAGCACTACCACCAGCAGCAGCAGTACCACCAGAAGCAGCAGTACCACCAGCAGCAGCACCACCAGCAGCAGCACCACCAGCAGCAGCAGCACCAGCAGCAGCAGTACCACCAGCAGCAGCAGCACCACCAGCAGCAGCACCACCAGCAGCAGCAGTACCACCAGCAGCAGCAGCACCACCAGCAGCAGCACCACCAGCAGCAGCAGCACCAGCACCAGCAGCAGCACTACCAGCAGCAGTACCACCAGCAGCAGCACCACCACCATCACCAGCAGCAGCACCAGCACCAGCAGCAGTACTATCACCAGCAGCAGTACCATCACCATCACCAGCAGCAGCACCAGCACCAGCAGCAGTACCATCATCATCACCAGCAGCAGTACCAGCAGCAGCAGCAGCAGCAGTACCACCACCACCAGCAGTACCATCACCATTACCAGCAGCAGTACCAGCAGCAGCAGCAGCAGCAGTACCACCACCACCAGCAGTACCATCATCATCACCAGCAGCAGCAGCAGCACAGTAAAGGACACAAATTTTGTACTTTCGCCAGTTAACCACTGAGTTGTATTGATTCCTTTGGTTTTTACTTTTGGCCCCATAGCTAAGTTTCTGGTTCCCCTGCAATAGGTGTTTTCACATAAGATGAGGGTCCTTTTGGAAAGAATAGTTGCAATGTTTATAGGGTAGTTGTAGTAAGAACCTAGTTTATTTTACATTTGGCTAATTGGTCTGTGCTGCATGGTTATATATTCTTGGATTATAGATTAAAAGTCTCTGTATTCATTTCTGAAGAGCAAGCTATCATTAAACATGCCTGTTTATAAAAAAATAAAATAAAAGAGATCTGAGCTGTTGGCAGAAGCAGCTGAGGCCAGGGGAGGAAACTCGGGAAGGAGAGACATTTGCCATGGCGGAACCCTTCAAACAAGTAATTAGAGGTCCTGTCTGTCTAAATGATCTTGAAGAATCTGTGCAACTGAAATGTGGATATGCCTGCTGCCTCCAATGCATCAATTCATTGCAGAAGGAGCCCCATGGGGAAGGTGTACTGTGCCCCTTATGCACTGTGGTCTCTCAGAAGAATGACATCAAGCCCAGGTTCAAGCTGAGGGCACTGATTTCCATCCTCAAGGAACTAAAGCCCAAGCTGAAATCTATTCTAATGATGAACCCAAAGATGAAGAAGTTTCAAGTGGATATGACCTTGGATGTGGACACAGCCAGCAACTATCTCATCAATTCTGAAGATCAGAGGAGTGTCCAATGTGGGGATTTCAGACAGAACAGGAAAGAGCAGGCTGAAAGGTTCAGCTCTGCACTGTGCATCCTGGGGACCTCTCGCTTCACTTCAGGATGCCATTACTGGGAGGTGGATGTGGGCACCAGCAAAGGATGGGATGTGGGCATTTGTGAGGAATCTGTGAATTAACATGTGGACATAGTACTTTCTTCAGAACTCGGCTTCTGGACTGTGGGTTCCAGAAAAGGAAAGATCTTTGCCGCCAGCACTATGCCTTCGACTTTTCTCTGGGTGAGTCCCCAGTTGCACAGAGTGGGGGTTTTCCTGGTTGTAGGTATGAGGTTCATTTCCTTTTCTAATGTTAGTTATGGGTGCCATATCTACACATTCAACAAAATTCCTGTTATCGAGCCACTGCGCCCTTTTTTTTCTGATAAACGTGAAACTCAAGATGATCAGAGCTTCCTGAGTATCTGTCCTGTGATCAATCCAGACAATGCCAGTCCCCCAGTTTATTCTGGGGAAAAGAAATAATTTGAACATAATGATCGATAGCAAGTTTCTGTGTGCACGTAGCCAGAGCTAAGAACATTTCTGCTAGATACACATAGGTGCAAAGCGATAGAAGGGAAACATCAGTCATTTTGTAAACCATGAACAGCAAGCAATTATATTAATTAGGGGAAAATTACATTTTACTTATAAAGTTTGTCATGCCTTCTTTTGGGTTTGTGTTTATATTTCCATTCAATAAATATTTTGAAACTTCAGGGAAAAAAAGGGAAGAAAAGAAACTCCAGCAACTCGGGGCTCACAGCGGTACAGGCAGCCACTCTGGTTTACCAAGACATTGAGATGAGTTCGCGCAGAGGAGAACCTGAATCCTTGATTGGCTTCTCAAACAAAAGTAGAGTTTCCTGAGTGCGATTAACAAAGCTCAGAGCAACTGTGCTGTGAGCTAGCTTTTTTTTTTTTTGTCCCAAATTTTCTGGTTATTATAGGAAATAGCTTACAAAACAGAAAATTTTTTCTCGTTCCGGATGATTTCTCAGACTTATTTGCCATGAAATGTCACCTTCTCAGGTGAGAGAACAGAATTTATCACAATTAAAGAAAGATTTGACATGTGGCTTTAAGTGGTTCAAAAGTGGCTCTCAACTTTGAAACTACAGCATTTGTTAGACGTGCACATGTGCATGGAAAATTTATTACGACTGTAAATGTTACGTGTTCTTCAAGAATGATTATATCATTTTTATTGCTTTCAGCAGTGTCTGCTGCAAGAAAACGTTCTCGTCTTTGAGAAACTAATGAACCGTGTTTATGATCTACAAATGTGTACTGAGTAGTAAAGCAATATTCACTGACCTTCCGGGGCACTGTCTCTCCACCTGGTGCTATGTTACTACGCAAAGTGAGCAAAACAAATTAGAATAATTATTTGAGAGCGAGGCATATGATGCTTCCAAGAATAATTGTCTTGAACCAATTGATAAGGTGTGAATACATTAACATCTAATTAGAGTAGATTAGAAAGGGACCGCAATTTAAGTCCCTGAACAACCTTCTACATCTGGGATTGTTATATCCACTTTCTAGCAAACTTTAGCAGAAAATATTGTTGCCCTCTAGTTAAGTTATTAGCTGTAGAATGTGCTTCTTGATTGTGTTGGCTTCTGTTAGAAATTTGGAGGAGCTAATGGCATCTTTCTTCTTTATCTAAACACATTGAGAAGTAATCAAGGAGGCAAGTGGGAATTAAATATGGTTCCAGTTTTATCAGTGGATTCCTGGTAGCTCTCAAAGCAGAGGGCTCCCTGGTAACATTAAATTAGAGAAGGTATCAGGGCTGACTGCCTCTTTCCTCCAACGAAACTTTTCCAGTGAAGCTGGAGAAACTAGAATACTCCTGAAGAGAGAGACCTTTCCCTGGTGAGTTTATTACAAGAAGACAAGAAACAGAGCAAAGTGTTAGCAAACCATGAAGAACCAAGCAACTGGCCCATTTGTTATTTCAATGCAATGACCCCGTTCCTGCTTAACATTATCCAATGGAAAACAATAGTTTACCTCCCTGATCTATGGGAAAAATTGAGTAGTGGGACAAAGAGAAGAACTGCATCTGTACCTCCCCACCTGGCTCCTTCTTGTGGAAGAGAAGACAACACTCTGGTTATTAGCTCTTTTCAAAGGATCCTCTTTGAAGCTTCAAGTACTCCTGTTTAAGAAATCCTTAGAGTGTGGGTTAGTCTTAAACACAAATAAACAAACAAAACTTCGAGAAACTTTCCAATTATAATTAAATTCCATTAAGATAATTAAATAAGGGGGCCGGGCGCTGTGGCTCACGCCTTTAATCCCAGCACTTTGGGAGGCCGAGGCGGGTGGATCACGAGGTCAAGAGATCGAGACCATCCTGGTCAACGTGGTGAAACCCCGTCTCTATTAAAAATACAAAAAATTAGCTGGGCATGGTGGCACGTGCCTGTAATCCCACCTACTCAGGAGGCTGAGGCAGGAGAATTGCCTGAACCCAGGAGGCGGAGGTTGCGGTGAGCCGAGATCGCGCCATTGCACTCCAGACTGGGTAACAAGAGCGAAACTCCGTCTCAAAAAAAAAAAAAAAAGATAATTAAATGGGTCATCTTTCTCTTTGCCCTTGGAGAATCAAAAATCATCAGGTCCCACTCCGTTAGCAGGAATGAAATCCACGTTCTTGTAAAGCAGTGCTAACCCAAGACAGAGTAGACTCGGGGAGGAGTGGGTGGCAGTGGTCAGAGTGGAAGTCCTTCTCCCCTGATCTTCACACTCACATAACAAAGTTTGGTGTTCCTTATTCGCCTAAAACATTTGAAATTAGTTTAAAAATGTTTCAATATCATACAACAATGAGACTAAGACAATTTCTTTAGTCCAAGAATAAAATAAAATCATGATAAGGTAAACCAAGGTCTGAATTTTACATTCTCAGTTATAAGCAATCTAGCCTAGTGGGAACACCTTGGAATATGATTCAGGGACTGAAGTCCTTCTCTATGCTGACTAAATGTATGAGCTTGAGCAAGTTACTAAGGGCCTTTGCCCCCATCTGAATGCATTCTAAAAGAAAGCCACAACATTTCAGTTTTAGAATAAACTATAACCTATTCAAATCCCTTTTACTACGGATTAAAAATTAAAAAAAAAAACACTAAGGACAAAGTTTAGGGGTCTTTCCCAATATCAGAACAGTTAAAACACACACACACAGTGCCTCACGCCTATAATCCCAGCACTTTGGGAGGCCGAGGCAGGTGGATCACGACGTCAAGAGATGGAGACCATCCTGGTCAACATGGTGAAACCCCATGTCTACTAAAAATACAAAAATTAGCTGGGCATGGTGGCACAGCCTGTAGTCCCAGCTACTCGGGAGGCCGAGGCAGAATTGCTTGAACCCAGGAGGCGGAGGTTGCGGTGAGCCAAGATTACGCCATTGCACTCCAGCCTGGGTAACAAGAGCGAAACTCCGTCTCAACACACACACACACACACACACACACACACGAATAATACCAAAATCTCTTGCTTTACAAGCCTTTTCCTCCATTGCAGAGCCGCGAAGGGGACAATATGAGAATGTGCTATGCCACAGAATGGCATTGTATAAATCTGAATAAGTATTACAAATGCTTGCCTGTGTATCATTGGGGAAAAAGACCCACAAAAATCAGACTTTATATATGGAACAGAACGCTGAGAAACTGAGTTTAGAATTTAAAAAAACCACTCTGTAAGGATTTACTTTAGCATTTAAAGGGAAAAGGTCCTCGGAAATGTTTTAAAACTACAATTGACGGTTTCTTCCCATTCAGCATCATTATGACGACTTTGTCACTTGTAGTAATTGTGTTTCATTGTGTTAATTCTGGCTCCATTGGTCTCTGCCAGTTCTGTTGAAAATAAAATGAACAAAGAAAAGCTGGGATACAAAAAGTTTTCTAAGATATGTGTTAACGATAGTATCTAGAAGAAAAGAAGAAATAAGACCAGATCTAAAAGGCTGCACTATAAAGGCTCTACAGAAACAGCAGCACTTAAACATACATTAGTGAGGGCTGTTATTACCTGGTGCTCATGACCCTTGGCCCACTGATAATTCGCCATAGAAAAATTAAAATGTAATAGTACTTTTCTGAGGAGACTGCAGTAACCATCTTTAAAAGGCATCGGCGGCAGTGTTACCGTGATTTGCAGTTTCCTGGGGACTGCCCTTCCAATGTCCTTCTGAAGAACAATAAACTTCTGCCCTTCCTCCGAACCAGACTGACTCAGACGATCTGTCCTCATTGAATTCAGTGGTGTCCAACCTTTAGGCGTCCTGTTCTTATCTCATTTCTGTCCTCTAAACCAGCCTACGTGCAACACCCACTGATACTTAAAGAATGATCACAGCACACGTAGCCTCGGTTCCTGGTTTACTTGATCAGGGTCTCCAGAAATTGTATACACACCACAATCTGGTGAGTTAAATTACATCTTAAATAAGCTAGAATTAACTCATTGTTTTAAAAAGGTCCACAGTAAATCTTTCCCCACCAAGTCCTTAATTTACCTGAATTACAGCTCTGAATTGTTACATACAATATTAAGTCTATTTAAAAATCAGCTTAATTGCAAATATCCAATACAATGAATAGTTTAGGGGAAAGAGAAAGGTATGACACATTGAAGAAATTGAAAGTTTTGAGTTTTGAATCAGGTTTTGGTTTTGCACTTACTAAGTAAGGTTTGTAGCCCTGTGCCTGACACTGGTTCTTGATTATATAGTTTATTGAACAACTAGTAATGTATGAATAAAATAAATTCAAAAAGAAAGAAGTGAAACTGATCATGTGGAGGTAGATTCCCAAACAGCTTTCAAAACTGAAATGCTATCTTTATGTAATTTCATTTAAAGTAATCATAACTGTATTGTTTATTACTAATGAATTTAATTTGCTTTTGAAAATATTTCACTTCATTTAACTGTGTTCATTGTAGAAAGTTGCAGAATTTGCAGAAATATTTCATATTTGGCATTTATCATTTATTTATCACTTTTGCCAACAATAGGAGGAGGTGCTTAATTCAAATTTGAAAATAAACATTGAATGTGATTCGGCTGAATTGTTTGCTTAGCATGAATTAAATTTAAAGGACTATTCAATTTTAAAGGGCTATTCAATTTTATGTGAGGTAATGGAAATATCATTCTGTGTCAATGCAAATATTAAGACGAGACTGGTTAAGGAAATTTCTGTGTTTTGAGGAAGAGGGTTCTAGACCAATGGCTTGAAACCTTTGTTAGACTTTGGAATGACAAAGTTTGGTAAATAACACAATCAGAAAAAAAAAAAAAAAAGAAGAAAACCAAAGAGAAAAAACTGGTGTCTATATTCCACCCCTGATTCTCTTGTTTGTATTTAGGTCTGGGTATAAATATGATCTGAAAACTCTCTAATATGCAACTGTGGTTGAAAACCGTTCCTCTAGAATATTTCATTCTTTCCTTCCAGCACTAAGATCTTGCCTTTTCTCAGAAGTGTTGTATTTTATTGTAGCTTAAAGAACAGGGAAAAAAAGAGTGTATATTTTAGGTTTGCTAGTAAAGATATTAATTGGGATTGAATGAATCTTCTGATGTAAGTGATCTAAATTGACTTTTAAAGAAAAAAATTTAATCTTAATGCAAATGTCTGCTATGTTCCATGCAGGTATAACTAATTTGCGTATATAAACTCATTGAACTCTCAGATTATAGGCTATTAACTACTATTAGAATGATTATATGAGGCTGATAGCATCAGCAGCAGCATCATTAGCCCCATTACAGGTCAACTGATGGGGTTGTTAAGGAATATTTTTGTCTACCAATAAGGGAAAAAACTGAAACCAGGCAGTTGGCTTTAGAAGCTACATACTTACCTCAAACACGGTACTGCCTGTCACAGTTTTACAAACAGGACCTGCCACAACGTGTACACCCAAATCCTTCATCCAGCCCAGTGCCCTTTTTTTAGAACATTATAAGGCACTTGGGAAAAATTTGATTTGTTTTCAATGAATAAATGATGAATAAGTGCAGCATTCAGCCCTGTCTAAAAGAATGAGCTATAGTCTCCAGCATCATCTTGGTATTCCATTAGAAACACCTTGAAGAAAAATGAAAATTCACCCCCATTGTGAAATCCTCCAGAAAGTGATCGGACACAATATCCCTGAGGTCATACATTTTAAAAACTAACCTCTTCTTCCCCCGAGCGGCTTCTTAGATCTAATCTAAATGTCTCATATTCTAGTTTTAACTGTTTTATCTTATTATCTTCTTTGTCTAGAGAGGAGCTTAAAAAAAAAATCTGAGTTGAGAAAGTTTTATTTTCCTTAGCCGGCAGCTGGAATATAGGTGAAGCTTTGTGCTCGGTTCCTACCAGATGGCCGAAAGTGCTGCCCTAGTGGCAGTCAACCATGAATGGGTGCCAGCATTGCTCAGGAGCTTTGAAAAGTGACCATGGCCAAGCCCCACCTTAGACCAATTCCATGCCGTGGTCATCTGTCCATGTCAAAGTAGCCACAACTTCCTGTTAATATCTCTTCATGCAATATCTTGTATGCACTGCTGGTGATTTTAATAAACTTTGGTTGATCCTTTAGATGGTATTTGCCAGTGTTGAATAACTTTCCAAAGGTAGCTACTCACTCTGCCTCCCTGTGGGGCCAGTTCACCCAGTGACTGTGATCTCTTGCCAAAGGATCACAGACTTCCATAGACCTCAGAGGGCAGAGGGCAGAGGGCAGAGGGCAGAGGGCAGAGGGCATTGTGCTAAGTCCCACTATTGCTGATGCTCAAAATACTGCACTGATGCTTAAATTACTCTGCTTTCGTCAAGGGTGGAGGTTCTGTCTGACGTTATCTGTTATCTTGGTTGTGGCTGTAAGGTGAAAGAGTGCTGAAACACCAGGAGAAGGGACTCGGATTCCTTGCACGTCTGGGTCAAATTCTAACCAGAAAGCAGAGGCCTGTGATGCAGTAGCTGGGCACCAGGAATGCAGCCCGCCCGTGGTGGCGCAAACTCAAATAGAGTTAGGTACTAAAAATCAGTGCCTATGAAACAAGGAGTATGAATTATGAAAACAAGTCTTCTCATTTCAATTGCTTTAAGAGTTGTACTTTCCTCATATAAATGTTTTATGTCTATTCCCAAAATGTCGGCTGAATCCATTCCTCCTTATGCTCTGTGAAAGTGAGGCTGAGGAGAATGTCTCCGCCCCCTCCTTGCACAGGGTTCCCTTAAAACATGCATATGTCTTCTCCCTAAACAAAAAGCAGATGCTGTCCTTTATCTTCAGAACTGCACCAGTGATTGATTGCAAAGCTATTCCCAAATCGTATAGGTGAAAAGAATTCGACATGAACTATAAGGTTAATAGGTTGGCAAGCAGCTAGATATTTTATTAAGCTTTTCTATTTATTAACTAGAAGTATTTTTGAAAATCGAAGAGTATAGAATATATGATTGTGCCAACCAACAATCAATGCGCACGTGTTGTAGTAGAGGCTGTTTTGAAAAGGAAAAGAAAGGGGAAAAAAGGACAGAAAAAGAGCCTTGATAGAACAATAGAATCAAAGTAACGACTTGGCTGTTTCAAACAATAGACCTGTTTATTTTCATTTTGGGAACATTGCTGTCATTATTGACTGAAGCCAAAATGATTGCAAGGGATAAAATAGCAAACGAAAACACCCATACCTGTTCCAGGGAAAGCAAAATATCAAGAACACAAAATCAAACAACACAAACATCACAACATTGACAGCAATCACATTAACGGCGGGACCCGCACAGTCTCGGAGTCAGAGGGAGCAGCCGCCGCGTCGTCTGCGCTGCCACAGGGTGGGGTGAGAACAGGAGAAAGGGGTCCACTTCTCATTTCTACCTCAGTTTTTGTTTTTCACAAGAGCCACCATTCTCTCCTCGGTGATGTATTACTCTCGCTTCAGGGTGGACATTTAATATTTGGTTTAGGAAATGGCATAAAGTATGCCGAGAAATGCTCGAAGCTTCTCTGGGGATGGGAGGAGCAGTTGGGAGGTTTTTGTGAACTGCAGTTTTATTTATTGGATAGTGGCAAATTTTTTACAAAAAACTGCTTTTAGTTTCAAGTTTTCCTTTTCTGTTCTTAAAGGAAGAAGAAAGTGGTTGGGTGGGCTCTGTGAGGACGCTTGAAACCTTCCAAACAGAGCTCATTTGGAGGCAAGGGCCACTCTGCGAGTGTGGCCAGATCTCTGGAAGGGCTGTGTCCCTCATTTTTGTTAGAGGGTCCCATGGCGGCCTTGGTGTTCTCCTGCATGTCCAAGCTATGGCAACAGACTCTCTGGCAGCCGTTGTCTCAGCACACAGATCACCTAGATCAGCATCTTCTGGTGTACATGGTGAGGACAGACCTGTGTATCAGTTTTCTGTATTAGGAGCTAAGAATCTAAATTCAGACAACTTTCATTACTTGTGGGCAAACCACAGTCTGTCTGGGCCACCATTATCTAGCTGAGGTAGAAGACCAGCAGGACTTATTTCCCCATCCCGACAGGATGAAGCAAAAAACAGCAGGAACCAGCAGGTAGTGAACAAGGCAACATCTAGTCACTGTCAATACTCATTAGCATAAGATACTCCCACCAGCACCACAACAGTTTGCAAATGCCATGGCAACAACCTGGAAGTTACCATCCCTTTTCATGGAAATGACCTGGAACTTACATGCCTTTCCTAGAAAGTTCTGAATAACCCACCCCTGCAATCTGCATTAGCCTGCCCCGTAATTTGGATGTAATTATAGGTGGATATAAATACAGTTGCCAAGAGCCCATGCATGGCTGACTCTGGGCGCATGGCCTGCTAGTGAGCCCAGCTCCCCAAAGAGCAGTACCCTTTAATAAAAGATGACTTCTAACACCTGGCTCACCCTTGAATTCTTCCCTGGCAAAGCCAGCAACTAGCCCTGGCTAAGCCCCAACCTGGGGGCTTATCTCTTCTGAATCTTCTGGAACTTTCTGAAATGACAAGAAGTCAATGTCCAATAGACACAAGAAGGTACTTTTCCATTGTGTGTACCCAAAAACCAGGGACCCTGGGCTACGGAAGGACCTGTAGAGATTATTTTAATTACCCCTATCCCTAGACATTGTTTTAAAGGTTAAAAGACAGAAAATCAAATACCACATATTCTTACTTATAAGTGGGTGCTAAACATTGGGTACTCACGGGCATAAAGATGGCACTAATAGACACTGAAGACTACTAGAGATGGGAAGGATAGAGTCAGGGAGGATTGAAAAACCAACTGTTGGAAACTGTGCTCGGTACATGAATGAATCATTCATACTCCAAACGTCAGCATCGGCAATCTACCCTGGTAACAAACCTGCACATGTGCCCCCGACTCTAAAATAGAAGTTGAAAAAGAAAAAAAAAGTTCCAGGAAGAAACAGCCTTGGTTACAGAGATTCCTGAGTTGGAAGTGCACTTTGGTTAACTCCCTTCATTATCATTGTAAAATCACTGCCCAAGGCAAAGCTTACTCACCGTGTTCTATACCTGTGACGTATGTAGAAGCATGATCAGCAACTGCACCCGTGCTGCCTTACTCCACCTCTCAGCCGAGAGCACAGTGACTCATCTAGGCTCAAAACAAGTCCTGTTTCGCCATTGTTGAAGAAGGTACTGCGTTGGGGAATTATTCCCAGTTACCTCTTTACTTGCTGCAAGTAATAAGATCCTCTTGTTAAATGCTCCTTAGTTGTGGTGATTGGACAGTTACCCACCGAGCGCCGGAACCCACCCATTGTGCCGGTAACACTTCCAGCCTTGACATTGTATAATTAGTGACTTAATTTTCACAACAGCGGCCCAGGGGCGGTGGGATAGCGATCTTCCTTTCGCACACTCCCATGCACACACGCGTAGTTCCACAGTTGGAGAAACCATGCCGTAAAGTGTTAAGGGCTGTAGTTTTTTAAAATCTATATGGACACTAAGCTGAGTCAAGCAGATAGAATTTTCTACGTTTTCGTATTTGCTGATTCTATTTTAATATGAAGCCTCCAGGATAGCTTACTGTGTACCTATAGCATGCGTAAAAACAGCAGGGTACCGGAATTTTTTTCAGCCACTAATTACGATTACTTTTGCATATTTAATATATATTTAGATATGGCAAAGATTATTAACTTGTAACTGTTCCCATCCTTCTACCCACACCCAATTTGATCCAAGGAGAGTTTCATTTATGCCTTTTCAACTTCTCTTGGCCGTCCTCAGAAGGACTCTCCCCTCTTGTAGGTCTTTGCCACACTTGAGTTCTTATCATGCAAAAACTGGGAACTTAGTTGAGAGAGAATTCCAGATGCCAGAGGAAAAGAAGGAGGATTAAAACATGTCAATTGTTTTTTTATTTGTTTTGTTTGTTTTTGAAATGGAGACGGAGTCTCGCCCTTTTGCCCAGGCTGGAGTGCAGTTGTGTGATCTTGGCTCACCGCAACCTCTGGCTGGTGGATTCAAGCGATTCTCCTGCCTCAGCCTCCCAAGTAGCTGGGATTACAGGTGCCCACCAGCACACCTGGCTAATTTTTGTATTTTTAGTAGAGACAGCGTTTCACCAGGTTGGCCAGGCTGACCTCAAGTGATCTGCCTGTCTCTGCCTCCCAAAGTGCTGGGATTACAGGTGGAAGCCACCACGCCCGTCCAAAACATGCAAATTGAATTAAATAACACAGGGATAATAGAGGAGAGCAAACTTATCAGGATCGGAATAGGAAGTCATTTTGTTTGGGGGCTTTTAAGAGAGACGCATCTCAGTAGTGACAGAGTATAATGGAAGAAAATAGGAAGGAAATGGAGATTTTTTATGAAGCTATCTTGGACGGTGTATTCAGATCTTCTTCAGGCTTTTCAAGAAAAGTAAACAAAAGATTTGAGCTGCTTTTGTATTCCATTGACTATTTCACAGCTCTGAGCCTGAGCCACATAACACCTGGTAATTATAAGAATTTTGGTTCTTTTTAACAAGAGGAAAAAGAAAAGGAGGCTCTGAAGAGAAAAACTTTGTTTAAGGCTTGGCATGGTGGCACATGCCAGTAATCTCAGCACTTTGGGAAGCCAAGTTGCTAGGATTGCTTAAGGCCAGGAGTTCAAGAGCAGCTCTTTCTCTACAAAAATTTAAAAAACAAAAAATTAGCCAGGTGTGGTGGTGCACAAGCCTCTGGTCCCGGCTACTTGAAAGGCTGAGGTGGGAGAATCTCCTGAGCCTGGGACGTCAAGGCTGTAGTGAGCCATGGTCCCTCTACTGCACTCCAGCCTGGGTGACAAAATGCAAGACCCTGTCTCAAAAGACAAAAACAAACACCCAAATTTTGTTGAGCTCATAATTTGTGCCAAACTTATTTATTATAAAAACATAAACTCCTCCAACCCAAAGGCAAACTGAAGCAACTAATATTTATTAAATTCATTAACTCTTGATTTCAGATCATATTCTCCGTGCTTAAGGCATAGACTATATAAACAGAATGCCCCCTTTGCTTCTTTCAAACGCTTTTTTTTTTCCAGCTAAAAAGTGATAATTATGATGGCCATAGGAAGCTACTTTGTTATTCATGCTTTTGGCACAAATGCATGACTGTCATTATACAATTAACAACCCAAGGCAAATGCTAATAAGACCAGTGCTGAACTCCATCCAATCTCACACAGTACTTCCTGAGCAATGAGGCCCCGACTTGCCATTTGTAATTCAGTATAATGACAGGGAAGTGATCCTCGGAGTCTCTGCAGTGTCTGATTGTTTGAGAGTTCACCAAGATGGAGAAAAGCAGGGCTACATGGAAAAGGTTAGGAGTCCACCTCCCTATTTAGAGTCATGGTCAAGTTAGCTATGAAGACAAGGGTGAGAATTCACTATTTCTGTGAATTAACTATCTGTGAGTGAATTCTGTGATTTCATGTCTTTGGAAAGAAAAAGCTATTATATATTAAGATAGTCATTAATAAATTCATCATTTATAAAATTAGAACTCACAGAATCACCTCTCTGATAACATTGCAGAGCAAGCCTAAAAATGTTCAAAGAGGCAGAATGACTTACGTGTAGTTGACAAGGGTGGTGTTGGAAAACTGCTAGAATCATTGGCCAATGTTGATCTGGGAAAATTACTCCACTTGAAGTTTGAAGAAAATGGATAAGGATGTTGACATCATGGATTGTTCAAAAGGAAATGATCTGGTCTTAGAAAGATGAGAGAGGCCCTTGGGAAAATTGATGTGTTCACTGAAGGCTTTTGTAAACATCTTCTATGATTGTTGTGTTAAGCTTGAAGTGATTGGCATTGTATCTCCCTATTACATAATTCTGTTTGAAAATCATGCTTTTAAAAAAATCTACATTTAATGTATCCTTTGTTTATTCTAGGAATTAGTACAGAATGCAAGTATATCCCAAACCTTTCCAAACATACCATAAAAACTTTCTTCTATCTGTAATGTTTCATTTCTTCCATGAGAATATGTTAACAAATCCACCCATGTATGTGTGTGTGTGCATTTGTATGTGTATATATGACTATTTTCTCTGACCAGTTATCCCACATTATCCCAGAATATACCACTTCTTTGATCTGATGACTAGTTTTTGAACTAGCAGTAACAGGAATGATAACGACGGAGTAGATAGCAGGAACCTGGTACCTCTCCTTGTCCTCCCTGTCCTCATCATTCACAGTGATCTTAAATTGCTTCTCAAAGACTGGCTGCCTTAGAATTCTAACTGCTGCTTTCCCATCGGAACACATGAATTCTCTACCGTGAAGCCTCAGGTAGTGTCAGCCGGTAGAGGGCACCAGCATTGCAGAAGGTGTCGTCGGTTCCAGACAGCTGGAGTCCTTGGCATGTAGCAATTTTTGTCAGCGTTTTTCAGAAAGCAAGCAGTTGGCTTTTAATGCTGGCAGGTGATCCTTGGTAGGTGACTGCCGTATGATGTAGCAAAACTTTGCAGGTGATCATCAGTAGCTGACTCTACTATGTAGCAGAATGTTGACCATTAATTTAAGATAAACAAATAAAAAGCATAGCTAATTCCTAAATCTTAAATCCCTTGCTTGTCAATGATACTAACTCACATCCCACCAGCCTTTCCCAGCTTTTACTTACAAGGGCCACTCTGGATAATTCCATGCCGTGGCGGGGACAAGATATGACAGTGTCATTAAAAAGATGAAGGAGGATAGAAGGGTGTGTCCCATTAAAAAGTATCTTCAATATTGATAACCAGGAAACTAGAATAAGTCCATTTCTATGAATGAGAAAACAAGTATGTTGAAGAGATTGTCAAAGTGCATCATTTCAAGGATTCAGTGACCTCAATTTTAAATTAAAGTCTCACGCCAGTGGGTTTCGAGTGGAACCAGGCCAGAGATTAGGAGGCAGATGACATTCCTTGTTGTGGTGCTCATATTAAAATGTTTCATTTTGGGTCAGGCACAGTAGCTTACGCCGTAATTCCAGCACTTTGGGAGTCCGAGGCAGGCAGATCATGAGGTCAGGAGTTCAAGACTAGCCTGGCCAACATGGTGAAACCCCATCTCTTCTAAAAATACAAAAATTAGCCAGGCGTGGTGGCATGCACCTATAATCCCAACTACTTGAGAGGCTGAGGCAGGAGAATAGCTTGAATCCAGGAGCTGGAGGTTGCAGTGAGCAGAGATCTTACCACTACACTCCAGCCTGGGTGACAGAGCAGACTCTGTCTCAAAAAAAAAGTTCCATTTTGGTAATGCAAAAGAATTGAATTAATGAGTGCGACAGTAAGCAAGTGATGCCCATTAGCAAGAGTGGATCATTTCCTCTGCAGATTATTCATGAAACACTTTTTTATTAGGTAGTCTGATGGATTTATAAGAGAGAGCCCATAAATTTTAATGGTGGTCTGAAAAAAAATGAATTTGGAAGAATGAATTTTCTTTAAATTACCATTATAACCCATTCCAAAGACTAAAAGTTAAAATGACAATTGGATTATCTGTTCCACAGTCCTGTTTCATTAATGCAGACAACTGATATTTGAATGTAATTTGGAAATGTTACTTGAAAAAAGTAACAGCCAAGCAGAATTCAGAGCAGATAGATCGATAGATAAGCCATTAGGTTTTCTGTTCGCAATGTCACTGTGCGGTGTGGTGGCCCACGTGTTTGTGATTCATTGTTCTTTTCACTGTCAGTTCATTCTGTTGGTCTCCTTTTCAGCTGTTTAGAAGAGCATGTTGCTAAAAATAAAACCAAGGTCATGGGTTTGACTCCTGTACCCTCAGGAATCTGAGGGTTTAAGGCTTCGAGTTGCTGCATTTTTACAGTCTCCTTGCAGAGACTAGTCCCTTCTCTGCCCAGCTAGCAATGGCTTTGCTGTATAAACCTCATTCCAGCAAGTCCAGAATTGATCAGTTTTTTTCTTGTCTGTGGAATCTTTTTCCAACCCTGATATCTAGTGGTGAAAGTGTATGCATCATTTCAGGTGCAGGTGAGACACCGCATTCTACTGAAAGCCTTTCCTGATCTCCACTGCCTCACTGGGCATTTTCCTCCATGACCTCTTTCTGCACTGTGTGTCACTTCATGAAAGCTGTCACATATGTCACTTGCGATCACATCTTTTATCTTGTACTCTATTCTTTATGTATATTTATGTCACTTGAGATTTCCTATTTTATCTTCTAATATGTCTTCTAATATATTCCTTTTTGTATTTCCCACACTACTGACATGTTACTTTATGAAAATTAGAGGCTCCAAAAGAAATTATTGGTCAGGTGCAGTGGCTGACGTCTGTAATCCCTGAACTTTGGGAGGCCGAGGTGGGTGGATCACCTGAGTGAGATGAGGAGTTTGAGACCAGCCTGGCCAACATGATGAAACCCCGTCCCTACTAAAAATACAAAAAATTAGCTGGGTGTGGTGGTGCACACCTGTAATCCCAGCTATTCAGGAGGCTGAGGCAAGATAATTGCTTGAACTCGGGAGGAAGAGGTTGCAGTGAGCCAAGATCGTGCCACTGCCCTCCAGCCTGGGCAACAACAGCAAAACTCTGTCGAGAGAGAGAGAGAGATTATTGATTATATTAATACATTAGTTAACCAATTCATTGATGTTGAGAGAGATTGGCCTGGTTCGGCTCTTGAAAAACCAATTAAATAAGACATTCACGTAGCAATAGGTCTGTTTGTAAAGGAAAGGGCTTTTTTTAATTTTCCTTTTTCCTTAAATGACAGTTGCTGTGTGTACTCTGGACTGAGAGGTAATGAATTACCATGCTGATTACAGTAAACACAGTCAGGAATAAAATATGAACACCCGCTATTCATACTTATGCTTTAATTTATCCTTAGCACATGCAGCATGCAAATAATGAGTGGCAAGCTGGCTATTTTACATTTCAGACCCGTATTTTCTCTCTCTGGAGAGGAATAGAGGGAATTCTTTAGGAAGGAGGGCAGTTTGTATGGCAGAGGACTGCATTACACTGAAAGAACACAAGAGGGAAGCCCTTTTCAGCTCAGACGCAGGAGAAAAAGAAAAAGTCTGTCCTTCGTTTGAAAAGGCTGAATTCCCTAACCCTTTTGAGGGACTCACTTTTGGCCTTTTTAACTTTCAAAAAAATTGAAAATAAAAAATAACAGCCATATTATGATATATAGTGAGCTTTGAAGAAGTATGTTCAGATTATATCTAATAAAAATATTTTCCTTAATTTTTTTTTTTTATGCTAGAAGCAACAAACTGAATCCATTTTGTTTAGCAATCCATATGTATCTGTACTTACAAGTATGAATTTACCCTGTGTTTGCGAGCTGGCAGTTTGTGTGGTTTGCTGTGTGCATTACGATTTAAGGGAAATTCAGGGAGATCTGAATTTAACCTTATTTACCCCATTGCCTACTTTGAGGTGACTAATCATGTTCTCCCATTTTTCAGTTTACATAATCAGAAGGTCAAATTAGATTATTTCAAAGGTTCTTTTCAGGTCAGTTTACTGCATCTGTGAACTATGACTGTTTTATTAAATCTCAATAAATATTTAGGATTTTTAGAATATGGCTATCAAATGGATATAACTTAGTTTACTCAGTAAAAGAGTCAGGAGAAAATTAAATATGTTGAACATACAATGTTTTAGCAACCAGGAGGGAGTATATAGGTATCCGGTGGACTTTGAGGTCAAAATATTTTTGTGTGTTTTCTAAACAAATATATTGCTCAAATGGTCTTGAGGTGATTCATTTTTGGTTGCTGGGTTAGTTTTATAAACACACGAAGACATTGCTTGATCTTTCTTTTTGATTAGAGTCTTGGGTTAAATGACCCAAGGAAATGATCGTTTCTTCTTCTTTTTTAAAACTTTTTATTTTTGGTAAGGAGGTCATAATGGCTAGGTTTTGTTGTTGTTGTTAGCAGTATTTTTAAAACGTCTGTGTTTAGAGGAGTAAACACAACTTCACTAGAGTAAGATACTGTTTAAAGCACTTCCATAATAACTGTCTGAACTGTCTGCACCGCTCACCGTAATGCTGAGCTGAATTGCTTTGCTCGTGTCTTCAGCCCGTGGGCACGGTCATCACGCTAGCTCTTGTACTCGCGCAGTGCCTCGGTTTGCAGGAGACACGCTTCTTTTTCCCCCCACCTTCCTCGCCTCCTTCTTGTTTTTTCCTGGGCGCTGAGAATCTCATATTCTTCTATCAGGGCAAAAGAATCGTTGATAGTAAAACGGCCTGACTGACAAGCACAGTAGAGGCTGTAACAACATTTGAAAGGATGAGGGCTCAGGAAGTTATTTTCGGGAGGAAAGTAACAGAAACCCAGTGGCTTTAGTAGTTTTGGGAAAGGAAAGGCGAAAAGATAATCTGGGGACCACATAAGTGTAGCTCACTGGTTATGTCATTGAAAGAGGAAAGTTGGCCAGGCATGGTGGCTCACACCTATAATCCCAGCACTTTGGGAGGCCGAGGCAGGTGGATCATGAGGTCCAGAGGTCGAGACCATCCTGGTCAACATAGTAAAACCCCGTCTTTACTAAAAATACAAAAATTAGCTGGGCATGGTGGCACGCACCTGTATTCCCAGCTACTTGGGAGGCTGAGGCAGGAGAATTGCCTGCATCCAGGAGGCGGAGGTTGTGGTGAGCCGAGATCGCACCATTGCACTCCAGCCTGGGTAGCAAGAGCGAAACTCCATCTCAAAAAAAAAAAGGGGGGGGTTACATATGGAAAATAATGTAAAGTATGTAACCATCATGTAAACAATTTGGAGCACATAGATAATCTAAGGCTTAATTATACACTTCCTCCTTTCATTCATTCATTGCCCCAGCAAGTACTTGAGCACCTTCTGTGTGTCAGACACTTTGTACCAGCCCCTTGATATTGACATTGAATTTGACCTGTTTCATGGTTGTAAGATTATCGGCATCTGAATGGGAAAGTAAACAGGTAAACACATTAAACTGGAAAAGAATAGGCATATACCAGAGAGAGTGGGGGCACACTGAAGGCCTACTGGTTTTTCAGTCAGGTTTAGGCAAGAATGGCATTGCAAGCAAAAGAAAATGTTTTGCAACTACGCAGGGTTAACAGTGGCACAGCGTGTTCAGGGAACTAAAAGTTGTTTGGAATTGTTGAAAATCAAAGTTCAAGGGAAGGAGTGAAAGGGGGTGAGGCTGGAGAATCAGGGCTGGGTCAAACCGTAGGAAGCTTTGTAAGCCATGTTAAAAATGCATGCCTGTTTATGTTATAGGTGACATGTCTCTTGTGGGGAAAATGTGTGTCATATGGGGGAAAAGAATGGTAAGAGGAACACTTTAGGGAGACCACTGGGGAAGCTCTGAGAGTTGGATGTGAGTGGGATAAGAATGAAGGCGTGGAGACCAGATAAGAGGCTCTAGATCAGAACTGATGAGGAGTGACTGAGAATAAGTTTTCTATAAGAGCAAGCTGCACCCTACCTACCATTACAGTCTTGCTTTTGCACAAATATACCATTTATCACAGTGATCTTACATTCTGAGTTTGAGAATATTTTCCTAATTTTAAATGCTTTTTCTTTGCCCATTTTGTCCTCTTATCTGGTAAGAGAGGCAAAAAGCCATCACTAAGCTCCTTTTCCACATGGGGAGACTAAGCAGAGAGTTGGTGGTGAAACTGGGATTAGAACTTGCACTATTGGCTCTGAATTTGTATCATTTTCTTTCTTTTTCTTTACTTTTTTTTAGAAGCCCCTCTCCCAAGCTGCCAAAGAAAGATGTTATGCTCAAGTGGGGCAGAGGCCAAAATGCCATTCATATGGTTGCTTAAAAAACAAAAATCAAGAAAGTGAATTTCACTGGGTGAAAACCTCCGCTGCCAAACAGACATGTGTGTACATATATGTGCATGTGTGTGTACATATGTGTGCATGTGTGTACGTGTACATATATGTGTGCATCTATATGTGCATATAGGTGTGTGCTTTCTTTTTTCTTTTCTTTCTTTCTTCCTTTTTTTTTTTTTTAGATGGAACTTTGCTCTGTTGCCCAGGCTGGAGTGCAGGGGTTGGATCTTGGCTCACTGCAACATCTGCCTCCCAGGTTCAAGCAATTCTCCTGCCTCAGCCTTTCAAGCAGCTGGGATTACAGGTGCAAGCCATCATGCCCAGCTAATTTTTATATTCTTAGTAGAAACAGGGTTTCACCATATTGCCCAAGTTGGTCTTGAACTCCTGGCCTCAAGTGATCTGCCTGCCTCGGCCTCCAAAAGTGCTGGGATTACAGGCCACTGAGCCCGGCTGGTTATGTGCTCTCTGATACAGGTGAATATGGGTGTACATGGTCTAACTTTGTTCTTGATTTTCTTCATGCATGGCTTAGGAAAAAATGCGGTAAAGTAAGTTCAGAGGCACCTGGTCTCTTGGAAATGGAGTTCTGTAGGTACCTTTCAAATGAAAAGCACTGAACAAGAACTGTTATTGCCAACCATGTTTCTCTGCTGCTGGCTGACAGAGTCTAACCACCAGTCCTATTACCCAGAAAGAACAGTCCTATTGCATTTCCTTAAAGGCCAAATTTGTCCGTGGGGATTTTTTTTTAACATTTTTTTTTTAATGTGTGTGTGTGCAAAACCCGCCCAACCTGAAATGTCTTTGTTAGTGTTAGCGCCTGGTGACAATTATACATTTTTCTCTTATTCTTGGATATCAAGAGGCAGTTTGTATAACCAGGCATCGTTTTCCATGCTAAAAATAACCTAATCTCCCTTACCAGGTCTTTGAGCACTCAACAAGGAAATTTCTACTTTGGTAAGTTTGCTTTTTGCTTATCTGAGGTCATGTCCCTGGAAGGGTCATCAGTCATGAGGATTCAGGCACTGAGTGCTAGCAGTATCTGTAACCATGTATGTTAAGAAATAAAAATTCCCTGGAAAAACAAATAAATGCCTTAAGAGTCTCCCAGATGTCTCAGTGTGCCATGTAATCACCAGCACCAAGTGCTTCGACCTCCTGATTGAATTGGCTGTTGAGCCCCTGCTAATGTATGTTGGAATTATCTCAGAAATGCCACAGAGAAAAACAGGGATTGTCCTGGAGGTGTGCTGAGTGTAGTCTCTCTTTCTTTCTTTATTCTAACTGCAGTTAGATAAAAAAATCGTTTATTTATCTGATGAAGGTGGACCTGGCTTAGAAAGACATGCTATGTTGACTTAAAAATGTGGAAGGCATGATTTCTCTAGAGATAAAAACATGCAGGGGAACCACAGCTGTAAAGTGTGGGGATGAAGATTTAAGGGAAGGATTATTCTTGCCCTGGGTCCTTGTTCTCTTGTGTCTGCTTCAGCATCTCTGCACTTTTAGGACTCTTTTTACACCAAGATCAGAATTAATGGAGCTGTTCGCTCGAGCTCAATTATGGAGCACTCACCTGAGAAAGTGTAAGGAACAGAACTATAAATCTTATAGTCAAATATTGAATGATCTAATTTATTTACTTGGGGAGTTGAGATCCCTGAGTTCTACAATCAAATGTGTAAAGATTTATGATGAAAGGACGCTTTTAGGAGCAAGAGGAACAAAGCTTATAGTGGTTTTTCTACAGTAGAAATGTCTCCTAAATAGCAGAGTTGTTAAAAGCTAAACCTAATTTAGAAAGTAGAAGCGAAGCTGCCTCTCTATGCCAGCCTATGGGATACTGCAGCAAAATCACCTTCAAAAGTTATTGCCAACACTCTCTGGCCCCCTGTCAAAAATGAAATGCAAACATGCATCTTTTCCTCATATGTAGAAACCAAATAAAGCCAGCCAGAGACTACTATAGCATTGGTTTTGCTCTCTGGCCCTCCCATATTAAAGGAACATAAAAATTATCCAAGACAGTATTTTCGACTATTTATCATGGGCCTTTGAGATGACGTAGCTTTGATAGGCTTACTATATGGCTTTGAGAATTGTTTCTTACTGTCCATGTTTTGTAATCTCCTAATAGAGTAGATAATTCTGACAACTGTGTATTTGCTTCTTCTTGTTTCTTTAAAGGTACAGAATTAGAGAGAATGCTGGATTGGCTTTTGCAGAGGATCGATGATTAGAGAATCAAAGGTATTCCACGTGCACTCTACTGTAAATTTCACTCCTACAACATCTTGAATTTAAAAAGCCAGACCATATAAAATATTCACCAACAAGAAGTATATCAACCTACTCCTTAGATTGTTAAAGGTTATATATAAAATTATAATTATATAATTATAAAATTATATAATTATGTAAAATATTAAATGTAGCAGTCAAATGTCTTAGTGACAAACAGTGGAGCCTCAGTTTACAGAATATAAACAAGAAACAGTTGCTATGAATCTTGTACTTGTAAAATAAAACCGAAGTTATGATTGACAGATGAAGTTGTGTTTCTGAGTCACCAGTGAGACTTCCTCACTGCTGGTGGTCCAGCATCTTAGCAGGGAGGGAAGGATTGGAGGATGTGCTGAGATGGAGGCCATATAGTTAGAGAAGGTCCCACAGCTTATGCAGATGTGGACACCTACCCCCAGACCCACACATTTGAAACTTCAGTAATTTACATCAGTGGTTTTTCTGATGTCATTTCCCAAGGGACACTTGGCAATGTCTGGAGACATTTTTGGTTGTCACAAGGGCAGGAGGTTTGGGTGGGAGTGCAACTGGTGTTTATTGGAGAGTGGGTAGGGATGCTGTTAAGCCCTCTCTCAAGACAGCTCCCACAACAAAGAATTATCTGGCCAAAATGCCAATAGCGCTGAGGCTGAGAAACCTGATTCAAAGAAACTTCAGATCAGGGTTGGCAGGCCACCAACTGTGGGCTAAGACCCACTGCATATTTTTATAAATAAAGTTTTATTGGAACACAACCTTATGCATTCAGTTTTGTATGTTCTGTGACTATTTTCATGCTACAAAGACACAGTGGAGTAGTTGTGACAAAGATTATATGACCTGCAAAGTCTAAGATAATTATTATTTTGCCCTTTACAATCAAGCATTTTATAATGTAAATAACCATTTAATTTTCCGATAGATGTAATTGAGAATTAGGTGATTATTAGACAATTAAATATTCTGGGTTGTCTATCTGTGAGTCATTTTTAATTCTTAAGTTTCTTCTCTTAAAATTTGTTTTAAAAAATCATAATAATATTCAATGAAGTCTATAGGCAAGAGGTCCTGTGGTTCTAGGTAGGGTGGGGCCTCAATTGTGTGTAATTTTACATGATTTCTTGCCGAAAAAAATTATGGGCCAGGTGAAAAAATTTATGGGCTCACGCTTGTAATCTCAACTTTGGAAGGCCAAGGTGGGCGGACCACCAGTTCAGGAGATCAAGACCATCCTGGCCAACATGGTGAAACCCTGTCTCTACTTAAAATACAAAAATTAGCAGGACGTGGAGGTGGACTGGGCACCCAAATCCCAGCTACTCGGGAGGCTGAGGCAGGAGATTCGCTTGAACCCAGGAAGTAGAGGTGGCAGTGAGCTGAGATTGTGCCACTGCACATGGTGACAGAGCAAGGCCTTATCTCAGAAACAAAGCTAAATCAAGTTGTAAGGATGAAATTAGGTATAACATTGCATGTTTGCTTATGATGAGGAAATAAATCTCAACAAATTATTGGAGCCTTGCATATTCAAGTCCCTTTCTTCCGACACCTGTTGAGTTAGTTTTCCAAAAGTGCTTGCCTAAAGCTGCTTCCTGATCGCATCCTGGCCTACCTGCTTCTAGAACACCACAGCACAGTAATTCTGAGCACCTACGGGGCTGGTGCAACTCCGGGCTTTGAGCTATTTACCTGCTTCCCTGTATATTCAGTTCTGCATAAAAGTGTCTGGCAGAACATTTTTTCAATTATTAACCAGCACCTGAAAACCTGGGCTTTGATTCTGACTTTCTGCTCATTCACTGTGTGATCTTGGACAAGTGAGGACATCTCTGTGTCTGACTTTACTATAAAGTGAGAATGAGACTGTTCCTTTAAGTGTCTAATCTCTGTAAGCCATTGCTCAATTTTCTTTCATTTCAAATATTTGAATTCTCTTAGATTTGTCTTAGAAAGTTTTTATTATCTGTTATATTGCCATTTTCCCCCTAGTTAAAGGAAAATTGGTATCTTAAGACCAATATTCTTATTCAGTTTCAGCTCTATTCTAGTCCTAGACATTTAAATAGTCCTGAATTGTCTGTCTATGAATCATTACTATTCCTTAAGATTTCTCTCTTACAATTTATTCTACTAAGCCTGCTCCATCAAAACCTATATTTTCTTCTTTGTGGCTTATTTTTTATGCTTAGAAATATGCTTGAAGCACTTTATGTAAGAAGATCAAATAATTCCGCTGTGAGAATCTAAGAGAAATATCTTTTTTCTCTTAAAATTTTTCTGGACATTCAAAGTACTACAAATCTTATCTATTTCTCCCAGATCATGAGCAGATTATCAACTCCATTGTTCATGTTTTAAACATGAATTATCCCTTCACTGGATTTTTTCATCCAAATGAGCTGTCTAACACATAACTTTAAACTAGAGTCTAATTTTAGTTTGGGTATTCAGCTCAAGAACTAAAGAACTACCACTTCGAGTTAGGCCAAGGATTCATTCTGCCCGAATTACTAACTCTGACAATGGCACCAAGAAACATGGGGAAGTGTGAGATACAGCATCGGTGCAGAGTGGCAAGGTGGGAGAAAGAGGGGCTATAATGGGGGGCAGAGAAAACAATCATCATCACCAACTGCCACATCCATGACATTTCTAGACATTATGCAAGATGAATTTACATGCCTGTATCTCTATCTGAGACCTGTTCCCACCTAGCCCTGATTATATGAGGTTATGGTAAAATCATAGATGGTGGGCATTGCTATAGAGCACCTTAGAGAGAGTTTTCTATAGGGAAACTAAAGTGCAGATAATTTTTTAAAACTTTAAAAAATATTAATTGTAGCTGTTATCAAGTAATATAAGCATATCAATAAAAAATATGGAAAGGCCTTGAACACACAATAGCTTCCCTCCCCTCCCCTCCCCTCCCAAACCTTCAGTCACACTCCTGAGGGGAAAATACTTTAGCTGAACTGCTGTTTCCTTTTGTGTTTGCCTCCATAATTCACAAGAGATGCTTATGTAATCATTTCTTGATTTCCATTTATGGACATCAGCTATTACTTGCTGGCTCTGTTAGTGGACCAGAAGAACAATACCGGGTGGAAGACACAAACAAGAACAGTGGAGCCAGACTGCCTGGGCTTAACGCTTGAGACCACTCCTTCCCAGCTGTGTGGCTTTGAACCGGTTACTTTATATATCTCACGTGCCTTGTATGTTTGATGCATAAGAGCTATGCTCATTGGGTAGCTGTGAGAGCCAAATGAATGAGAACATATAAAGCATCTAGAATGGTTTCAGTACACAGTGAGTGCCAATCCACACAAGTTGTTTTTATTTTTAATTAATAATTTTTGTTTTCTAGAGACAGGGTCTCACTCTGTCACCCAGACTGGTGTGCAGTGGTGCCATTGTAGCTCACTGCAGCCTCCAAATCCTAGGCTCAAGCGATCCTCCCACCTCTGCCTCCTGAGTCACTGGGAATACAGGTGTGAAGAGGCCATTTTTAGATGTGAGTTTAGCAGTTATGCACCACTCCCCTGCCTTATGTTCCAGTCTCCCAATACCATATTGACTGGTAAATCTCTAGTGAGTGAATATGTTATTATCATCTAAAACTACTTATGAAGAACAAGCTCTGAGACTCCTGCAGTTACATTTCCATTCTTGACTAATGTATTGAATTATTTTTCCTCAGAAAATACTTATTCCCCCAAATTAGTAGCACCTTCATCGATTTTTAAAAATTTTTAAACATTTTCATGACACTTGCTATTGAAATATTCCTAACCAACGTCTATTTACATTAAAAAGTTAAAATCACGGCTTGGTAAATGCTCTTTTATCGCTATTTAGAATGTTCTGTTTTGTGACTCCCATGCCCTCTTCTTTCTTGTTAATTTCCGCATTTTATGGGAGCATATTTCCCAGTAACCTTCACAGAAACTGTTCGGGGAATAGTCATTTTTGGCAGCAAGAACTGCCTTTCTTTCTATCATCACACTTAGACAGCGTGGGGTATATGTGGAATTCTAGATTGAACATTATTGTCTTCAGAATGTTGAAGGTGATATTTTCCAACTTGAAAAAGAAATGATTACTTTACTGATTAGTGGTCTTTGTTTTTAACCTGTTTTTATTCTTCTGAAATCCTGTAAAATCTTTATCCTCCATGACTCCTTATAATAATGTGGCAGATTTTGTTTGTTTTTTAATTCATTGTATTTGATACTTGATGAATCATTTACATTTAAAAACTCATGTTCTTTGATTCTAGAAAACTTTCTTGAATTATTTCTCTGATACATTTCCTCCTGTTCTCCTGGTCATGATGGCTCATGCCTTTAATTCTAGTACTTTGGGAGGCCGAGGCAGACAGATCACCTGAGGTCGGGAGTTTAAGACCAATCCGACCAACATGGAGAAATGTAATCTTTACTAAAAACACAAAATTAGCAGGGCATGGTGGTGTTTGCCTGTAATCCCAGCTACACAGGAGGCTGAGGCAGGAGAATCGCTTGAACCTGGGAGGCGGAGGTTGTGGTGAGCTGAGATCGCAGCATTGCACCCCAGCCTGGGCAACAAGAGCAAAACTTCGTCTCAAAAAAAAAAAAAATTTCTCCTGTTCAATTTTTCCATCCTCTTTAGGGAACTCTTAAGAGTTAAATAATGGACAACCTGCAGTGATTTTTCTAACTTTTTTCTGCCATGTTTTTTGTTCTTTTCCTGGCTAATTTCCTCAGCTTTATGCTCTGATTCTTCCACAAGAGTCTCCTGTTCTTGCAATCAGGTGTTTTATTTTCAAGAAGGCTTACATATTCTCTGACAGTTTGCTTTTACTTAACATCCTGTTCTTATTTCATGGCCTTGGTGTGGACAAGGACTCCCTGAGGTTTTAATTTAAAGAAGCTTATATATCCACCCAGTTTCATATGATGGTGTTTGCAGTCCTGCATGTGACC